ATCGAACCTGGGACCCTTCCATCTGCAAGCCAATGCTCTATCCACTGAGCCAAACCGGCTAGGGCATCTCTTACTCATCTTTATATTCCTCACAGAGCCTAGCAGAGTGTGATTCACTTTCTAGGCGCTCAGTTTTGTTGAATTTGACTTTTGCTGTCATAAAAAAGATAAGGTAAAATAAAAGGAAATCTCTACAAACTAATGAATGGCAATGTATGAATCTATTATCCATGCTTTCAACTCTACTCCCTTTCTTATTCATCTAGAGCATCGGTTCTCAACCTGTGGGTCGTGACCCCTTTGGGGGTCGAACGACCCTTTCACAGGGGTCGCCTAAGACCATCGGAAAACACATATATAATTACATATTGTTTTTGTGATTAATCACTATGCTTTAATTATGTTCAATTTGTGACAATGAAAATACATCCTGCATATCAGATATTTACATTACGATTCACAACAGTAGCAAAATTACAGTTATGAAGTAGCAACGAAAATAATTTTATGGTTGGGGGTCACCATAACATGAGGAACTGTATTAAAGGGTCGCGGCATTAGGAAGGTTGAGAACCACTGATCTAGAGCAAGCTCCATTGGGAGTTATTAAGATAGAACAAAAATTCCCCCAACATTTTATGGTAGGTATTGTAAAATTGATTAAAACATTTGAGCAAACTCCTTTAAAATATTATTTTTTAATTACAGTTTACATTCAATATTATTTTGCATTAGTTTCAGGTATACATCATAGGTTAGACAATGATTTGACCATCATATACTTTACAAAGTGATCCCCCTAATATTTCAAGTACCTACCTTGACACTATACATAGTTATTACAATATTATTGACTATATTCCTCATGCCATACTTTACAACCCTTTGACTATTCTGTAACTACCAATTGGTACTTCTTAATCCCTTCACATTTTCCACCAAGCCCCAAAGCCCCTCCCCTCTGTTGACCATCAGTCTGTTCTTTGTATATATGAGTCTCTTTCAATTTTGTCTATTTCATTTTTTAGATTCCACATATAAGTGAAAATATATGGTATTTGCCATTTTCTCTCTGACTTATTTCACTTAGCATTATTACCCTTCCTATTTGTGACAGCATACGTTTTTTCTATAAGAAAAGATGCTTTTTAATATGATGTCAGGAAATACTATAAGATTTCATTGGCCTTGGCCAATGAAGTATCTAATAAAGATATTCTGTATTCTGCTGAGAATCATTTTATAGAGAAAGGCAGATGTCTGATTCTTTAGATTTAATTTGCTTCCTTCAGCAATATCAGAAATCTCTTCTTTTAGCCCTTCCTAAATGCACAAAACAGGAGGGCCCAATCATCCTACTTTTCCTGTTGACTCCTACCTGGAATAAATACCTAAAACTAGCCCTTCTTTTGCTTTCTTTCTTAAAGACAAACACAAAATAATAGCAAGCTTGCTTCTGAATCCAGTGCTCCCACTGGAGTTGCTCATGTAATTTGCCTCCTGTCACTTGGTCAGATGTCTGCTCCTAATTCTCAAAGATCACATATTTCCAAAGGGCTTGCTTATTTCTTTTCAGAGAAGCAGCACAGAATGGATTCAACTGCATGGTAATACATCCCACGACGAAACCCCCTGATTGATACTGCTTGCTGAGCAGAGCTCGTTTTCTGAAAGCGCACCTAAAGAGTTTTGTGTGGTCTCCTCCCTTCTCCTGTGACCTATTAGTAGCTCCTTGGACTGGGTTCCAGAATTCTGAATTGGTTCAGTGGCAGATTCAGAAAACGTGCTTTTCATCCCGACTGCTGTTCTCAGAGCCGTCTCTCTCCCACAGAGCGTTCTTTTTTAAGCAATCTTTTCTAAGGGTTTTTACTATAACCCCACAAGGATTCACGTTTCATCTTCCTTTTTTTTCCCTTTTCAACATCAATTAGTTGGAGAGGTAAACTGAGAAAAGGTAAATCTACGGTTTTGAACTAGGAATATAATTCAAAGATGACACTGGCTTACAACCTGCTATCCTTTCCCTTTAATATTTGATGATAACAAAATACAAATGTTCAATAAATGTTTGCAGAATGGAATTGAATTTTTACTGAAATGTTCAGAAATGGAAAAAACCGGCAAAACTAAAAAAAAAAGCCAAAAGACAAAAATCCAGACAAAAATTAACATCTAGACTCTAACGTGAAACATTTGATTTAACTTCCTTACTATTTTTAATTGCTCCTACATAGAATATACTGATTTCAAAGGAAAGAAAACTAGCCCTAAGTCAAGTTAAGCAACACCTTTCAAAACTATGGATGTCTAACTGAATCACAAAGGTCTTTGTGTTCATCTGTTGTGAGGCTTCTGAGTTTGACAAATTCTAAGAGGAGTAAAAGCAACAATCTCATGGAACAGTCTACTGAGGTATTCCCAACAGTGTAGGATTGAATGGCCACTTTACAAATGAACGAAAGAAATGCTTTACAAACAAAATTATTATCTCCATTCATAGGCTATGGAAATCCCATGAGTAAACAGCCTTGATGTATTCAGTGCAGTGACAACAAGAATTATAGAAAACAAGGACAGGTAATCATTGCAATGGCATTTTTTTTTTCTTACCAATAATTTCTAGTTTAATTTTTTTGGTCGGTCAATGGATAATGAAAGGCAAAAATAATCCTATGGCACTAGTATCGCCTTGGGTTTTTTATTGGTTTAAATTAAAGAACTGAATTGAGCAGGGTATATACATGCTTGGCATGTATTTCTATGGCTTTCAAAAGGAGCACATTGAGTGGTGGTATAGACATGAGCCAGGAGCAAGGGCCCAGAGGAGAATTCCCAGAGGTTGGCTGCTTCCTTGGCTGAGAGCTGTTTTCAGTTGGTAAAATCACACTTTCCCAAAGGAAACACCTTCCAATTCGATATGACTGAAAACTGCAGAGCCAGAAAATCACTTTGCTTTGTGGCTTTAAATTATTATGCTTGTGTTTTTCTTCTGTTCAGTTTTGTTTCGTTTCCCCTGAAATGCACCATTACCTCCAAATTTCATGGTCGTCTACCATCATTTAAGTTTTGAATATAAAAGCAAATTTTCCTTTCCTAAATCTTCTCTCTCTAACATAAATAAATCAGACATCCTAAAGCCATCATTTAAGCAGGGTTCTTATATTCCTGAGAAATAAATAATGCTGGCCTCGTTCTGACAAGTTAGTTTCTTTCTAAAATATAACACGCATTCTTAGTTTTAATGTTCAAAACTTCTGATGTATCCAGTTTTTCAAAATTGCTTCTTTTAGGCATTTTACTCAAACAATGAAAAGGTTTTAATTTTGTTTAGAAAGTATAGAATGATTAATTGATTTTGCAAAATACTTTAAAATAGAGGAGAAAAATGATCTGGGAAATAATGAGTTGCCCTGCAGTAGACAATCAATTCAAGAAGACATTACACCTCCAATATAGGGAATTGTTAAAATTATTGTGCATTCATTTCAAAAGAGAAAAAACAATTGTCACATTTGGAATACTGCAAGTAATTTACTTAGTGATGTCTGGCCATAGAAGAAAGAGGGCCATCAATTCTGGTTACAGAGATCCTTGTGAGCATAGTGCATAATGTAGAAAACCCTAGAGATAGAGGTATTTCCTTAAACAAATACTGTTAATACTACTTTTGTTACACCAACTAATCTATATATATAAAAGCTTAAGAGACCGACCGACTGAATGACTGAACAACCGAATGACCAGTCAACTGGTCGCTATGACGCGCACTGACCACCAGGGGGCAGACGCTCAATGCAGGAGCTGCCCCCTGGTGGTCAGTGTGCTCCCACAGCAGGAGTGCCGCTCAGCTGACCAATGGGCACCAGAAACAGGGCTCACAGCTGGCGACTGACTGGGCGCGATCCCGTGTTTAGAAAGTATAGAATGATTAATTGATTTTGCAAAATACTTTAATACGACCATTTCATGGTATGCCATGATCCTGTGGCAGGTGCAGCAGGGCCAGGATGAGCAGGAGCGGCAGGCAGGAGTGGCAGGCAGTCCAACATCCCCTGAGGGGGTCCCGGATTGCGCGAGGGCATAGGACAGAGGGACCCCATCGGTGCACGAATCCGTGCACCAGGCCTCTAGTTTTGAGATAATGCTAAAAGAGTGATAGGAATTTCCCTAATTTTCAAATGAATCTCAGGTTTGGAATGGCTTTTTCCAAGTTACCAAGTACTAAATGCAATTTATATTTAGTGGTTTATATTATAAAAATATGCTCTGGCCCTGGGCAGTGAGGTTGGGCATCATCCTATGCACTGAAGGGTTGTGGGTTCGATTTCTGGTCAGGACACATGCCCAGCTTGCAGGATCGATCCCCAGTAGGGGGGTGTACAGGAGGAAGCTAGTTGATGTTTCGCTTTCAGATAGATGTCTCTCTCTCTCTCTCTTTTCCTTCTTCTCATAAAAATCTTTAAAATTGCTCTGAAACATTTGTAGCATTTATGTTTTACTGCAATAGCTATGACATATATATGCTTGCTGTATCCTTCCTTCTGGTTCAGAGCCTGTTGGTAAGTCATGTTCCATTGAATGACTCATAAATTAAAGAAATGTCCAAAGAAAACTAGAAAGCATGAAGTTTTCTTTTTTTTTGGGGGGGGGGCGGGTAATGCTTTATGCACTAGGCCCGTGGTCGGCAAACTGCAGGTCGCGAGCCACATGCGGCTCTTTGGCCCCTTGAGTGTGGCTCTTCCTAAGCCTTAGGAGTACCCTAATTAAGTTAATAACAATGTACCTACCTATATAGTTTAAGTTTAAAAAATTTGGCTCCCAAAAGAAATTTCAATCGTTGTACTGTTGATATTTGGCTCTGTTGACTAATGAGTTTTCTGATCACTGCACTAGGCTAGAAAAGTTTTCCCATAATATTTAAATGAATAGTTCATTGATTCAATAGGTTAATATTTGAGAAAGAAACTGAACACATAGGAGGTCAAACATTTCATACTCACTGTAGAGAATGGTCCCATTCAGCGTGTTTGTTTTTATAGTCAAGTAGATGGTAACAATTCTGTTATGTTCTTTTTCCAGCACAGACTTCAACTCACTTAGGGTTGCAAAGAAAGGCAGTTCTAAGTAGGAATTCCCATTGAAAGATGGGAAAAATAAACCTGTATCTAAAAAAACACACACAGTCATGTTAATGTGTTCTGATATACAGGGTTTCTCCCTCTCCCCCCAAATGTATATATACTTTAACAGCTGACAGCTCAATTTTGAAAATGAAATATATTTTAATAAACACTGGCTTTATAATTATTCAAAGTGTGTGTATATTTTTTGGAACACTCTGTATTATTATATTGCTAATCAAGCAGATGAGAACATAATATTAATAGCATTCATTTAAAAAGATAAAACTGATATTTACAAACATTATTTAGTTCCAACATTAAGCAATTTAGATATATAAGTACAATACGTTTGTAAAGTCATTTCTCATATAATCAATTTCCAGTTTAGAGGAAAAGACTCAAAACAAGAATATAATTTTTTTTTGTTTAAGGGAGAATAAACACCCTGAAATTGTATGAAAAACATCTGTGTTCCTGCATATGTGAAATAATAGTTTTCATTAGATTCTTAAAATATTCTGTGATATAAATGACTAGACATCAAATTAATATACTTAAAATCGATAAAGTTTATTTGATGTAATTACACTTCAATAAAAACAAACACCTGTGACACAAAAATATTAGAAAACTGTTACATTCTTTTTATTAACAGTCATTAATATTTAGTGCTTTTCACTGATACATAAGATATTTTTAAGTATTACTATACTATGCAAGGTTATTAGTAAGTAGAATTCTTAATCTTTTAAATGCTTAATCTCATAAAATCCTGAGACATAAATTTTAAAAAGTATTTATCTTATTGTCATATATATATTTAGATCTATGGACTTGGTACACTGAGCAAGTATATTACATAAGTTTTGGAAATGCAACTTTATTTTTTTGTTTCTCTCACAATGGGGAAGTTTTCTTTGCCTCTGGGTGAAAACGGCAATCCATATGCGTCATACCTTCTTTCTAAATTATACAATAATTTAAAAAACTAATATCCAGTCTAAGAAATGCATCAACACTTTACATTTTCCTTCATAGATATGACTTCCCTTAGCCCCGTTCGCCAGTCAAAGCTGTGGGGTGCCTGACACCTGCTGTCTGTCTGTCTTGAGGGGCAGGGAGAAGCTGGTTTCTGTTTGTATTTCCTTCTCCTCCCCGTCCCCCCGCACCTCCCTCCCCTTCAGGCTAGCTGCTGCTTTGGACCTTTCTAGCTTTAAATCGGAGAAGACAAGGTGAGGTGGAAAGAAGCACACAGTAAGGAGAGCTATTAGAGCTGGTGACTAATGTTGCAAGCAGGCCTCTTGCTCTCTAGGAATAGTGGATGTTTAAAATGTATTCCTCCTGGTCGGAATGCCAGATAAAATATAGGATGCTCAGTTATCCTTCAATTTCAAATAAACAACAAACCATTGTTTTAGTAGATCTCATGCAATGTTTGAAACATAATTATACTAAAACAGTGATTTGTTGTTTATTTGAAATTCAAATTGAACTGAGGGCCCTCTATATTTAGCAGTGAAATTGTCAACCCTGTGACTCATGAGGATTAGTGCAAGCTTTAGACACCCTTTGTCAACAGCCATTTCTAGGGCTTGTGCAATAGCCTGCCTTTGGCTTGTCACTCTTAACTTGGTCCCACTCTGATTTTTCACATTATATGCTGACTCTTGCTGTTGGACAACCGCTTTCCTGTGTCAAAGAAAAAGTTGCACTGGACAAAGTTCAATAGGCAAGAAAGACTTTATTCAAGCCTAATGCAATAGTGGAGAGAGGCTAGATTCAGTCTTTGCTCTGAATGTGAGAGTTTTTAAGAGCTGAGGTGAAGGGATTATAAGCTACCTGTTTTGCCTACTAGTAGGCCTTACCCCCTCGAAAATAAGCTTTCTCATATTGTCATGACTGGAGGTGATTTACAACTTGGAGCGAGACACCCATTGAAGCTAGGCTCCCACTCTCCCGGAGACTGGCTGATAGGACCACTATTTTCTTGATTATTTTAGAAAGCGATGGCTCCAGGTCCTGCAGAAAGACACTCCTGGGTTGTGAAATTGGCAAAAGATTTCAAAGAAGATTTACAACACAAAAGAGCCAAGGAAAGAATTTCTAATTGAAAGTTTTCTAAAGTAAATTCTCTAAGACAAATGAGGTCAGAGGCCTAGAGTCAGGATGAAGCCTGCCTGTCTAAAATTCAGTCCAGCGGAGGGGAATGTTAACATGGTCTTGTTCACCTGACTAGAAAACCACTTGGACAGAACGCAAGATGGCTCTGGGCCAAATCTCTTTTCTAAGGGGTCCATACCTAGTTCATGGTAAACACTCCTCCATTCCCTGTCTTATTGTCTGTGGGGGTATAAGTTAATTTTCAGTCTTCTCTTTCTATTTCTGTCCCTTTATCTCCACAACACACACACACACACACACACACACACACACACACACACACACGCTGCTTTGGCTTTCTCAGGTTTGAATGTATGACTGTTGGTCCATAGTCCATAGTGTTCCTCACCAAGTGACCTAGTTTTAGCTTCTTTCTAACTGAGCTCCCTTCCTATAGTGTCTGCTGGCTGTCATTGCTATCATGTCAACTTTACTGATTTGTAATCATCTAAGGTCTTCAGTACTACAGAATAATTCAGCCGCTTTTAGAATAAAACTAGACCCTTCATGGTCATATTTTTCATGTTTACACACACACACACACACACACACACACACACACACACACACACTCTAGTAAGGCAGAACGACATTTTCTTCTGTGGCTCTACTTGTGTTTATGCTGTTCTATTTGTCAGGAATGCCCTGCCCCATATCCTACAATGCTCACCTTGACTATTCCTCCAAATTTGAACTCCCTATCATATTGAGCTACAACTCTTTTAGTGCATGCATGTTTTCTTCCTTATGTTGCAATTGTTAAGCAATTTGGGGCAGAATTGATAAAATAGTAAATCTGAACCTGTTACATTAGATAAGGGAGCTAAATTCACTTCAATTAGTAAAAATAGAATATTCTAAATAAATGAATTCTGAGAAAACTTGGAAAAATATGCATTAAAGAAATCAATTTTCTCTCTTGTGACCAGAAAAGCCCATAACATGTTAGAGTTGTACCAAATGGAGCAGAATGTTTAGTAGATACAAAACTGTATATACACCATTTATGCTATATAATAAAAGGGTAATATGCAAATTGACCCTAAAGGTGGAACGACCAGAAAGACCACTCGACCAGTCACTATGAGGCGCACTGACCACCTCTTAGTCCCTTTCCCTGGCCGGCAGGCTCGCATTGCCTGGGGGCAAACGGGGAACCCAGGGTGGGTGGTGGGGGATGTGGGAAGTGCCAGGCCAAGGCCCCCGCCCCACTGGTCACCCCACACACAGAGGGTGAACCGCAGCAGGGGCGGGGCGGTGAGCAGGTGGGAATGTCCGACCTCTCGGTCCCTCCCCTGAGCTGGCAGGCTCCGATCGCCTAATGGTGAACAGGGAACCCGGGGTGGGTGGCGGCGGGGGGACATGGCTGGCTGCCAGCAGCCGGGGAAGATGGCCCTGATCGCAGGCCAAGGCTAGGAACCTTACCCGTGCATGAATTTCATGCGCTGGGCCTCTAGTTAATATAAGGAGAAAAAATATATGCAAATCAAGTTAAAATGCAATGAAGCTCTATACTGGAGGATGTTTAGACGACAAATTTGGATATGGTTGTGACAGAGAAAAATGGTTAATATTATAAAGAGACTGGACTTGGGTTTTAAATTAATAGAATATCATGTAACTTTAAAAGTTGCATATCTGTTGATTCTACCATAATATGGTTTTAGACACTGTTTCTTCCTGTTGCTTTTACCTATACTATTTGAAGTCACTGATGTTTTCATTCACTGAACCAATATATATATATTTTAAATTAATTAATTTATTTTTATTTCAGAGAGAAAGAAAGAAACTCAATGATGAGAGAGAACCATTGATTGGCTGCCTCCTGAATGTCCCCCACTGGGGATTGAGCCAGCAACCCAGGAATATGCCCTTGACTGGAATAGAACCTGGGACCTTTCAGTCCACAAGCTGATACTCTATCCACTGAGCCAACCAGCTAGGGCCACTGAACTGATATTTATTAAGTGGCTACTATATGCTAGAACTGGTCAAGGAATACAGTGGTGAGCAAAATAGATAAAGACCTCACCCTCATGAAGCTTAAATTTTATCTTCATGGAAGAAAACCCCAAGTTAGAAGTTGGTAGAATTTATTCTACTAACGTGGTTGAATTTTCCTTGGACCCTGGGAAGATATACTATCCTATTTGCTTAACTATTTTTCTGACATTTGCTCTCATCCAGGAGCATTAAGCCTAATGTGAGCTGTAAGATTAGATAAGAAGGAGAATCTAACAAAACCTATTTCATATACCTTTTCATGCTATTCATTCTCTGGTGGCAAGATCTGAGTCTGATTTAGCTTTGCATTCTCCCATGGCATGAGCAGTTTTGTACATTGTAGGCAGATATATTCTTGGATAAATATAACTATAGAAAAATGATCATTTTGGGTAGTTTTTTTTAAAGGATAGAAAAACTATTCTTATAATTAAAATGAGATGAATCAAGACTATAGGGATTGGGTTCTTGCATTTTTCTTGTGGCTAAGTTTTTCACATTATTGATAAGTCCACAGGAAAATTTCTGTAAGAAGACACTCTTTACATAAGGGTTCACATATGAATCAAATTTGAATCCATAATCAGGTTTTACTTATTCTGAGATGTAGTGAACTCACCAAGAGCAGTAAAAATTCAATTTGCTTAAAAAAATGACTTCCACGTTACTTTGCAGGAGCATACCTATTGTATAATTCAGGCACACCTGCCTACTTCTTAGCTCGCACACTCCTTAAACCTTTTTTTCAGAGCTGACAGGTTTTATGAAAATTATGACGGGGAACAACAATTATGAACAATAAACATTTGCTATTGAATTGCTTTTCTAACCATATTAATTTTCATTATCATCATGTTTAGTGAAATATGTTGAAA